CGGCTGGGCGTTCTATTCGCGTGAAGATGGTAGCGTCTCGATCTCACAAAACAGGTAGAAATATACCAGCAGCTGCATCCTCGCACCCTGCGGTCCCTATCGACAATAGGGGAGGACGGTACAAAAGCCATCTTCTTCCACTAAAGTCCAAAGGAAAATTCGAACTGTCTATTTGACCTTTGTACTAGTACTAGGCTAGTACTACCGTCTTCACCCGAATAGAACGCCCGGTCGTTGTAGTTGTACTTGGCCATCTTTTAGTCTAGATCCAGCGATAATGACCGGGCCCTGCGCACAGGGTTGATCGAGGTTAATCCCGATTGGGCAAGGAAGGTGTTCCCCATCCAGGATCACAGAGGCAAAGTGGCCCCTACCCTCATTCCTTTGCCATCCCTACATGGCCCAGCCCACCACTACTTCACCTCATTATTACTCTCATGCAGTAGTTTTCCTTTTTTCCTTTAGTAAATTATATTATATTAGTAGGTGTTAAGTAAACAAAAGAGTGGAGGGCGGTATTATGTGAGAAAACAAACACGACAAAAATCATCCAGAGCACCATTCCTCGGAGTTAGAACCTCTCTCTCTCTCTCTCTCTCTCTCTCTCTCTCTCTCTCTCTCTCTCTCTCTCNCTCTCTCTCTCTCTCTCTCTCTCTCTCTACCCACAACTGTCCCTCTCTCTCTGCTGCTCTCTCCTCCAAGCTCTCCCTCTCCATATCTTTCGGCGTATGTGCGAGCATGTGTGGGTCTGTGCCTCTGTGTGCACATTGAACGTGTGTGTTGGCTAGTTCGCCGCATGCACCTCCACAAGAAAAAGAAGAGTACGACTGTTTCATTGGACTTTCATCAACTCATCAGGAGGTTGGACTTTGAAAGTCTGCAGAGGATGCATTTGACTTGATGGATAAGAAGCATTAATAACTCACCACCTCACCCACAGTTAGCAAGCAATACCCCTGAGAAAAATGGTCGATGTTACTCACACCAATCCCCCAATGCTTGCATATGTGTCAAACCATCCATAACGAAAAAGTTGCAAGGAACCCAACTGTTCAACACTTGCTGGAGTGCTTCACATCACATGCATTCACACAGATTTCCCAGTTGCATTGTCACGCACAAAGTCCAAAAGAAGATGAATGAGAACCAGGAGCTCAACTCAATTAATCAAAACCAGTTTAGAGAGAGAACATCGTGAGTCCAAATTGTATGGCGCCGAACTGAGTTACAAGTGTTCTCCGATCAACATGAGTTCCTGGCCTGGCGCTCTTCAGCGCCAGCTGCCGAATGTCAACAACAGCGCTCAACAGGTGAGTGTCGCCATAGCTCACACCTCCCCCTCTCTCGTCTGCTTTCTTCTGTCTCTCCCTCTATACGTGTAGTCCTGGTCTACTCTCACTCAACAAGCATGCACACTCCCTATCACACGAGGATCTACTCTGAATACTACTCACTGGTACTCCTACTAATAACCCTTCTATTGCTACGAACTTCTGCTGGCGCAGCTATGGCTGCCTTCCCTCTAGCCAGCACTCTCTTCCTTCTCGCATAGCGCTGCTCTTCAGCCTAGCGCAGCTCACACACATCTAGCGCACAAGTGCCACGGCACTTCCACACTCTCATGCGAAGTGAGCATCTGTCCAATGGGAGGCTGGCCAGTCCTTTATAGTGCTGGACTGGTCTGGCATGGCCTGCATACAGCCTCAAGTGTGTGTGGGACTCCTGCCCAGTACCGATTGTTGCAAAGTGTGTGTCCCAGTATCTTTTCCCATGGTCTGCTGCTGCTTTGGGCCATCGGGCCTGTCTTTTGGACTCCTCGTCTGAATCAGGACTGACTCGTGGGATTAAGACTGGACTGGGACTGTAGCTTTTGACTCATTGCCGAACAGACACGACTTTTCATCGAGGAGACATGACCCTAACTCAGTCTGGAAAATTGTGTCCAATACCTGTTCGTCCAGGACCCGTTTGTGACCTTTCAAAATGACCTTTCACTTCATTATGGATGCGACATTTACCTCAGGAACTTTGTCTTTTGGGTTGCTGCCCGTGAATTTAAGTTCTGGCCGACAGGGCCCCTTGCTGTTGGGGCATCCATTTGGGGTCTGATTCGTAAAGGCCCTTTTAAAGTATAGATGGACAATGGAATAGAAAATGCAAGGTTGGCCACATTTGTGTGGTTCAGTGCCAAGTGCCCCACACACGCCGAAGCGGCACACTTGCACATATACATATATGACGATATATCAGATAGAGATCTAGGCTACCAGACGGGCCGCCCGGGTCACCCTATTTTCCCGGACGGCACGGCCGTGCAAGGCCCAGGGAAGGGCCTAGCAAAAAAAAACAAAAAAACAAAAAAATCAAAAAAATCTGAAAAAAAAACTATGTTATGCAGAAAAATAAACTGAACAACTTTTGCCTCAGGGTCACATCGAAATTCTTTACCAAATTTAAAATAAAAAATAAAGTTACAAAATAATTTTTATTTTTTTATTTTTTTATTTTTTTATTTTTTTTGGCCCGGCCGGGCAACTGGCCCCCGGCCACTCTGGTAGCCTAGATATAGATATATTTATTTCTTAAAGGGCAAGAAGCAACTTACCTAAGACAGAGGATTCCACCAGCAAGAAAGCACCAACCCCATACACCATAGGTCCGAAAAAACTTGAAGAGCCCTCCGCGTCGGCCCACAAAACCACAAACTGAGAAGGGAAAAAACAAAAACAAAAACAAAACTGGGAAGAGAAAACCGTCTGCATTGCAATACAACGGCAAAGGAAAAATGTGCAAAATGACGATGAATCTTGAGCTAAAACATGGAAACATACGCTGCCATAATTTTTGTCTTTTTGTGCATTTGGTGAGTGATACAGCGAGGCCCATAGTTATGATCTGAACATGTCGGCAGGTATATAGATTTGTGTGGATAATGGTGTCCAGATGCCTTTTCCAGATTTCATTAACAACACATGTTCTCCCAGATATCAATTGTCACGAGCATTTTCACAAGTAACTTGCGAAAAAAAATTGGAAAAGAAAATGTTCAGCAGAGATGGGAGGTGAGCTATTTTTCGGCTGAAGACCATTGAACAGAAACTTATTGCCATGACCATAACCACATTCAACCGAAAAAGAAAGGGAAAAAAAACTCACTCCTCATGAGCAATGTCCTAGTCCAGATCACATCCCACACCTCACTACTTTCTAGAGTATGGCCAAACCACGATTGCTTCCAACTCTTTTCTCATCTCTTCTTACTTTGCATTCTTTTCAAACTTTGTCTATGCTTGCCGGTGATTAGTAACTGGACTAACATCCCCTAGAATTGCAGGAGTGGTGTTGTGCGTATTACACACACACACACACACACACACACACACACACACACACACATACACACACACACACACACACACAATCAGTTTTCTGTCAATCAGTCTTCCTCCGGTTGTCTGTCCTTCCTCTGATGTTTTCCAAGTATTTTTCTGCGTGCCCAACTGAGCACCCTCAAGTAGTGCCAAACAGTCAGTGGTTCCTCGTTTGGAGTGCCTACTACACTCTTAGGGAGCCGCTCGGTTCGGGATGTCTGTCTTGCCTGCGGGTGATGACGGATGGTCGTCGGAGTGACTCCCTGGCTCAGTGGGTGGTGGGAACCAACAATTTACGGTGTTCAATCGTGATGTGAGTAGGTGATGTGCCACTTTGCTCCGTGTTGGATGTGCGGACTGCCTCGTCTGCGCTCTACCACTGCCTAGCTGCCTGTCCCGCTTACTTCGCATGTGGTTCTCTGCAAATTGCTGTATTCGCTGTGTGGTGTGGCCGTGTTGCTGGTGTTGCCTTCCGCTTCGCTGCTCCGCTGCCTTGCCACTCATCCGCTGGTCGTGCCTTCCGTGTTTGTTGCTTGCGTGCCTTGTAGTTCACTTGCCTTGTAGGTGCTGCCTTGTGCTCCACTGCATGGTTGCCGTGCTACTCGACCGCTAGCGTGTTGTCCCCTGCTGTGTGGTTGCCTTGTTGGTGCTGCCTTGTGCTTCACGGCGTGGTTGCCGCACTGCTTATCCTGCGCGCCGTGTCATTCCGTGCCGTCGTTTTCGGCATTGTGCAGCCGTGTTGCCTCTACTGCGTTGCCTGGTGCTCCGCAGGGTTGCTGCCGGCTGTTGTGTTCCATTTGGGGGACAGTCTGCCTTCAACAAGCATCAAAGGGTTCATGACCCAAACCACCCAATATGAAGACTCCGCAGATTGTTGAGGGTTCAGCCTCCTGATGAGTCGGTGCAACTCCGACGAAACAATCTTTCATCATCAGCTTTTAATTTATTTTTTTGGGTCTTTGTTTCTTGCCTTGTGCTGTTTGTCTGCCCACCCTCCTCCCCTACCCTCCAGCCTGTCCTTTGCTGTTTTCTTTTCTTCTGGTCGCTTTGCTGTTTTTCGATACTTGTACTTGTGCCCTCCCCCCTCCCCCATGCGTTTCAGCCTATGTGCTGCCTCACTGTTTGTCCCTCCTCTTGTGCCTCTAAGTTCATGTGCCGTGTTGTGGTTTGTCATCCTATGGTGTTGGTTCCCTGCCCTTTGCCTCGCTGTCCTTTGCCTTCCCCCCATCCCTCTGTTTGTTTGTGGGGTGTTATTGCGTGTGTTCTGGTCTGTCTGAAAAATAGGAGGCGCCACCCACCCCCCTCACTTCGTCTTACTGCTTTTGCATATTTGGCTGCTTTCGACTTTACGGCTCTTTAAGTACCCTCACCACAAATGGACACACGATATGGTTTTACCCTGCCGCGTTGAAAAATCACCTCCGGGACTTGCACCTTGCTCACAGTGTGCCGACGTTGCTGGTCGGAGCAGCGCGAGTATGACGTGTCGTACTCACGCATGACTCATGTGACACACAC